CCATGGAATCGGAAAATACGGAACCGGTTCTGAACAGGAACCGGTTTTCGATTCCCATCCCTATCGCAGAGTCTAAAATCCGGGATAATTTATCCGACTCGCGGGCATCAATGAACAACTATCTATATCAGGGAGACTCCTGGAACTTCCGGGAGACTTGGGATGTCTGCAACCACGACCATCATATTTTACATCAGACACCGGAGCAGATGCTGTTGGGAACATTTCACTCAGTTTCTCTGCGCCTCCCTTGCGTTTCTTATCCATTACTAAGTTCCAATGGAGAGTGAAGGTGTTTTTCTACTTTCTGATTGGCCTAGCCTTTTAGACTGACAGGGATGATAACCAATGGGCTGCAGCAGCCTGTGGTAAGGGCTGGATGATCGGAAGAAACCCTCGCGCTGCTGATTTTATTTTTCTTCATGCATTATGCAAATATAACGAGGCCGATATATAAAAATAATAATAATAATAAATATTATTAATATAAATGTCGGGTCTGCCGGCCCAAACAGCACGTCGGCCCACCGGGGAAATGCCCGGTACGCCCGATTACCAGTCCATGCCTGGATGGAGCCAATGATCCGCATTGAATGGCACACATGACATGAAATAAATATTTATAAACATTAAACCAAAGCCAAGAGTAACGAGTAAACTTTGTTTTAAAAATGTAAGGAATAGAAAGTACAGATACTTGTGTGAAAATGTAATGAGTAGGAGTCAGAAGTAGGAGGAAAAATAAGTAATGGAGTAAAAAGTATAGATACCTAAAAAGTGGACTTCAGTACGGTAATGAAGTATTTGTACTTCGTTACTTGCAGGGGGGACAGCAGAGCAACGAGGACATGAGATGTTCTAGAAAGTCCATAGGAACATGTTCCACTGACAGGGGAACAGGGATCCAAAGTCACATCTTACTTTGGCATTTTCTCACCTTCAGTTTTTGTTTTTTTAGGAAAAGTCAGCAAGGAGTGATCAATAAATAATTATTTATACTTAAAACTAATACTAATAATGAATTTAGCATTAATCGGTAAGAAAATAAAAGCAATAATTTTCGTCGCGATCACCGAGTCTGGGAGCAGCCATTTTTGACCAAGTAGAGTAACACATCACTGATGACATCTTCCGTCAGCGATGCCTTGGTGCGGTAAGCCTAGCGCATGCGTTAGGGTTGCGATGATAACACGCAACCATAACCCCTTTACATGGGAACAGAAGACCTCGCCTATTCAGCCAGGCCAACAATTCCCTTTAACAACCCCCGCTCAGAGACATAGACAAGTATGAGGCATTACAGGCTAATAAAAGGAACAACAACCCCCATTCCAAAGGGGCGGACCTGTTCCAATTGCATGTTTTCTAAGCCAAAACAAGGCTTTGTTGGGCTACTGTATAAAGCCTCGAACTCAACGCTATTTCCGACATGTTTAATTGAAAAAGTTTCCTGGCCAAACGTCTTCAAACTTGAAAACAAAGTCCAGTACAGTGTTAATGTCGTAAACTAGGACGATGATGAAAATATTTCGTCAACACCCCTTTTTCCCGAATGCGCACTTTCATCTGGTTTGGTCTGCCGCGCTTTCCGTAGACTCATGAACGCGCTTTTAGGAAATCCTATACACTACTGTTTAGGCTCTAAAACATTCTAAATGACTTTGTTTCGAGTAAATTATGGACGCTACCCACTCAGGACACTTGGAATACATTGGACGAGCAGTATGGAGGAATATTGACACGTTTTTTGACTTTTATGGCCCTTTCTGCCTCGGGCGCTGGGGACCTCC